GTGTGAAAAATTTCAGGAAATGCTTAGTGTATACACAGCCTGTGAAACTAGCACCTGTTGTGCGGTTTTCTTCTCCATTCCTCCCCAGAGAGTAAAGAGGTAGAAGGTGTGTGTGTATGTGTGTGCGCTTATCTATTTGAAAGCTAATGTGCTCCATGTTGCTTAGTAGAAAAGCAAGATTGAAGGAACGAGCCACATTTGAACTGGAAAATAGTGAAGTTTATTGTTTGAATTTCCTGAGAGAGAGAATTCCACAGTCCAGGCCCAACCTAGAGGTTACCATATGTCCGGATTTAATGGGACATTGCCTCTTTTTTTGAGACTCCGTCCTCTGTCCTGACAGATTTTTCAAATAACAGGAAATGTCCGGGATTTTTGAAGAGCAGACATTACAGCTCAGAAAGAGCCCTGATTGGTCCACTTCCTGACTGGTCCCTCCCCTGCCTCCACAGCTGATCAGTCAATTCCCCTGCAGCCACAGCTGCCGATCCTGTCCACCCAGGCACCAGTTCCCAGCCCTGGGGCGGGGGGGGTCCTGCAGAGAGGCACTGACTAACAGCTGTCACTGCATCCTGGGCTTACGCCTGCCACCGTAACAGGGAGCGACCAGTGAGTACCCCCACCACAGGGTACCCCCTCCAGCAGAATTGTGTCCCCCCTCCAACTCCTCCTCCCCCACCCTGGCAGTGTCCTCTTTTTTGTGAACCTGAAATATGGTAACCCTAGGCTCACTCCTACCACTCACCTGAGGAAAGTGTCTCCTGTACACACGTTTGTCTCTTGGTGTAGACAGCTTCATTTTTCCTTAGTTGTTTTGGAGCTGTTAAGAGTAGGTGAGGGAGTTTTATAGTTAATCTGGACCCAGACTTAGAGGCTTGAACAAGGATCAAGACTTCAAAACTTGACACAGAGCTCTACAGAGGGTCGGCCAGTGAGGTGAGGGGAGCACAGTTGTGCTGTTTTGTAACCAGTGTTGCTGAGAAGTCATGTGGCTGCATTTAGCAGGAGTTGCAAAATCTTCAGGGCTGATGCTTTCAAGCCTAAACAAATTGCAGTGCCACAGTCTCCACATAAGCTGACAGTGCTCTATCAAAGTCTATGCATCCTGTCCCTGCTGAGGATAACACTTAGCCTGTCTGAGGTGGTCAGTCAAGTTTCCTCAGAATGCAGCTATGTGAGAGCTTTCTGATACTGAGATGAGAAGCACCCCAGAACTCAGACAGTGTAATTCATGAGTATGTCAGCCTCACCTCAGTCCCTGGAAAAATCATGGAGCAGGTCCTCAAGGAATCAATTCTGAAGCACTTAGATGAAAGGAAAGTGATCAGGAACAGTCAGCATGGATTCACCAAGGGCAAGTCATGCCTGACTAATCTAATTGCCTTCTATGACGAGATAACTGGCTCTGTGGATGAAGGGAAAGCGGTGGACGTGTTGTTCCTTGACTTTAGCAAAGGTTTTGACACGGTCTCCCATAGTATTCTTGCCAGCAAGTTAAAGAAGTATGGGCTGGATGAATGGACTATAAGGTGGATAGAAAGCTGGCTAGATTGTCGGGCTCAACGGGTAGTGATCAATGGCTCCATGTCTAGTTGGCAGCCGGTATCAAGTGGAGTGCCCCAGGGGTCGGTCCTGGGGCCGTTTTTCTTCAATATCTTCATAAATGATCTGGAGGATGGTGTGGATTGTACCCTCAGCAAGTTTGCAGAGGACACTAAACTGGGAGGAGTGGTAGATACGCTGGAGGGTAGGGATAGGATACAGAGGGCCCTAGACAAATTGGAGGATTGGGCCAAAAGAAATCTGATGAGGTTCAACAACGACAAGTGCAGTCCTGCACTTAGGACAGAAGAATCCAATGCACCGCTACAGACTAGGGACCGAATGGCTCGGCAGCAGTTCTGCAGAAAAGGACCTAGGGGTTACAGTGGACGAGAAGTTGGATATGAGTCAACAGTGTGCCCTTGTTGCCAAGAAGGCCAATGACATTTTGGGATGTATAAGTAGGGGCATTGCCAGCAGATCAAGGGACGTGATCGTTTCCCTCTATTCGATATTGGTGAGGCCTCATCTGGAGTACTGTGTCCGGTTTTTGGGCCCCACACTACAAGAAGGATGTGGAAAAATTGGAAAGAGTCCAGCGGAGGGCAACAAAAATGATTAGGGGACTGAAACACATGAATTATGAGGAGAGGCTGAGGGAACTGGGGATGTTTAGTCTTCAGAAGAGAAGAATGAGGGGGGATTTGATAGCTGCTTTCAACTACCTGAAAGGGGGTTCCAAAGAGGATGGCTCTAGACCGTTCTCAGTGGTAGCAGATGACAGAACAAGGAGTAATGGTCTCAAGTTGCAGTGGGGGAGATTTATGTTGGATATTAGGAAAAACTTTTTCACGAGGAAGGTGGTGAAACACTGGAATGCGTTACCTAGGGAGGTGGTGGAATCTCCTTCCCTAGAAGTTTTTAAGGTCAGGCTTGACAAAGCCCTGGCTGGGATGATTTAATTGGGGATTGGTCCTGCTTTGAGCAGGGGGTTAGACTAGATGACCTCCTGAGGTCCCTGCGAACCCAGATATTCTATGATTCTATGTCTCCGACTGGCGGAGAACGCCCTGTTGCAGCAATCTCTTTATAGTATTTTTCTTTACCTACCAGCATACTCTGTCTTGTTAAGGTTGAACTTCAGCCACTGATAAATTTTGAATGGGTGCTTTTTAATCAAACAAAAATTATACATAAGTATTTCTTAAGGTTCAACCGCTAAGGAGCTCTCTTTCTCATAATTACGTCCATGATGTTGAAGTCCTCTTTGTGGGAAATCTGCTTCCCAGTTACATTAATAGTTTTATCATGCAAATGAATGGAATAATACATCTGCCACACCTTAATGATATGTACAAATATGTCACCACTTCATACTGCAGAAGAGAACTTGTATTACATCAGTGATGTGACAGACAGTTGGTAGCTTTGAATAAGGGGATAAAACAGTGAGCGAGAATTCCATAAAGTATTTAAAAGGAAACATAATTGTATAATTATGGCAAATGTATAGATTATGTTAATTTTATAATGTTGCTTCAGCTGATATGTGCTTTCACAGAAGAGTAGAATGTCAAACTCCATGAGTTTCACCATTTGTCATCTTCAAATGAGTTAAATTACAGTATTTAATCTTGAAGAAAATACTGTAACGGACAATTATCTTTGACTCATGTATGATTATTTTTGTATTGAAACATCAGCATGTAAAAGATGGGATATTCTTCACTTAGAGCAATACATGTTTATCTGGTTAATGCAATATGATGTGTTTTACAGTAGCTTAATGGATTTTCTTGAGCTTTTTAATTAATAGCATATTAAATTCTGACTTCCTGGGAAATGCATCATTGAAAGATGGTATCATTTTTACAACCTTTGTAATGACCAGATAACTTTTAAGTCCATATTTCTTTACAGGAATCAGGTAAACTTTTACAAATTATAGTTCAGAAGAACTCGATAGCCTTCACATTTTTCTACAAATCTAAGATTTTGTCTCTCAAAAATGTAAGCATTTTGAAGATGTAAAGCACTATCAATTCTAAAATTAATAATTCATTCTTCATATAAACATCTCAGTTTGTGCTATAATTCATTGTGTGTGCACGCACAAGTAAATAAATAAGTTTATATTGACAAATCATCCTTCAGGGTAACACAGCTATTTACACTTTTGACGTTAAAATCTCTTCCTGATATTATGTGGTTAGTATTTGTTAGCGTTATACTGAGAAGGATTAAGAGTTTTTTGTTTTGTCAAAATATTGAGCAGTCCAGACCTAAAAGGCTTTTCTCTGACATTGCTGAAACTATCACAGTAATTCACATTCTCATCTTACAAAGTCCATAAAGATGTCTGTTTTTCCAGAGCTGCTTTCAGTGATCAAGTTGCTGCTTCTTTCCTTGTTGGAATTTTTTAAAAAGAGAATTTCATAGTACAATTTTCAAGTACTTTTTTTCTCACCATACCTTGTGACTATCCAGTTCTTTTTGAAAGGTTTGGCTCCTCACACTGCATAGTGTCTTCATGTTTGATCTGCAGTGGGTACTGATTTTGTGAGATGACAGTTTTTGCATGTCAACAGACCACGGCATCACAGTAATAGGATTCTGAACGCATTACAAGATTAAACACAATAAGCTGTGAAAATAAAAGTTCATATTCACTTTTATTTAAAATGTGTCTCTCTAAAGAATACCTTTCACACTGGAATAAGCCAAAACATCAGTTACACACACAAATCTTGGGCAGTAATTTTTTGTGTTCTATTCTTTTCTGTGGAAAATGTGTATTTGTTTGTGTGAATGGTGTTTGTATATAGTTGGTATATTCCAGTATAAAAGGCATTCTTTAAAAATTAGACTTGGCAGAAGATGTGCTGAGTGTATTGTGATCACATACTGACTCTACTTATTATTTCAAATGCTTCTTTACATTGATGTTGTGGGTCAAATTTTCACAACTCTCTACATGTTTATTGCCCATAATAAGCAGGCATATGTGTCTAGTGTATATGCATAGTTACTGTAATTACACATGCAAAATTACAAGGCATGCATATGTATCACAATTGAACATGCAAGTCACATTAATTGTGAGTGCAAATGTCACAGCTATGACATCCAGGCTCCCTGTGACTATTTAGATTCAAATTAGTAAAGTCTAATGTAAGTAACAGAGACAGAGATGTGGCAAATTGCATCAAAATTGCTGTTGAAAGAGATTGCCTACAGGCATTCAGCCATATATGCAGATGAGAAACATAATAGGTTTTTCTTTGTTTATACGCTATGATAGGCTGATACCCCCTGAAATTATTTACACCTAAGGTACACATATCCAAAGTTGCTTGAACAATATTCAAGTGTGTAGTTAATATGATGGACAAATGAAGCAACTTTAAGTAGCATTGACATTATCCTTCTATGACACAAAACTACTTATTTTACCGTAGGTGAAAAATGATTATATGTTAGAAATAGCAGATCAAGTGGACCAGGAAATTGCTTTGAAGCTAGGTTGCCTTGAAATCCGGTAAGTTGAAAACTGCATATTTTGTTTCTGATATACTGTATACATTAATTTTGAAGCTGTTTTTAATTCTCATTTTTCCTGATTCTCTTACCTCTATAAATTAGTAAAATATTGTTAGGAATTATGAAAACTAATTTATCATTTCAAAGAAAAAATGATCAGAATATATTGTAACTAATTCCTAATGGTTTGTAAATTACAGATTAATTTTACAGATCAGTTAACTATCTTCTTATATTGATTTTATTTGGTGCATATTAGCAACTAAACAGTTCGAAGGCCTAAAGACTAAACTGGAATATTCAAAAGAAAATAAGTCTGAAGTGCATTTGCTAACAGATAGTGTCACGTCCTCATTCTTCTATTAATAATACAGATGAAGAATTTAATTAAAAATAAAACACTGCCGCTTTTTCTTTCTCAACTTGGTGTTGAAGATTTTTAACATGCTAATTTAAGAATGCAAAATATTTTTTCAGAACAAAGTTTCTGAAAGGGCAAATGAACTGATCTTGTGAGCTGCACTGATATTTTGTGTAGCTTTTCCATTTCAAACTGATAAACATAAAGACCTGAGATACTCAGTGTATGTTTACCACATTGAGAATCTTGAAACAGTCACCCCTTTAAACCTTTTGAAATGTATTTTCGCTATTTTATGGTAGGGTGACCAGATAGCAACTGTGGAAAAAATGGGACGGGGTGGGGGGTAATAGGCGCCTATATTGGGGAAAAAAAGTCCCAAAAAACGGGACTGTCCTTATAAAAACGGGACATCTGATCACCGTATTTTATGAAGAATCTGAGGGCTGAGATAATTACTTTAGTTCTGCTATTGTCTTGCAGAGCAAGACTAGGACAGTAACAAGATCATTAAGAAATGAATGGCAAATCAAGTGATATAGAGCAAAGGAAAAAAGTGCAGGTTGAACAGTAATTTTCAGAGATAAAACAGGATTAGGACTACCACTAGGAACAGGAATACCAATAACGAGGATGTGGCACTTGGGTATTGTGGGTAAGGGCTTGGAGTGTTTTCTCTAGCCTTCGTGGCAGTCTTGGAAGAAGTGAAAATTCTATTAACCTTTTTTTTAGAAAATTTAATGGATATAACAACCCACTATCTCTCAGACAGATTCCACTCTCCGATATTTTTGCCAAGCACATTGTGGCTGTCTGATTTGTCTTCATACTCATCATGGTGCTACTAGTATTATGTTATTAGTATATCATTCTGGGATGTCTTGTGCATGAAAAATACTTTAATCAACTAAAGTCTACTCGGTTGTAGTAGTGTAATAGTATGTCAGTGAACTCATATTTGAAGTCAGTCTGCAAATGGCTTTTAGTGGTAGGTCTCTGAAAGCTCTGAATGCACTTATTGTAGGTTTAAGCTGGTTCATCCAATAATTATTGCTTGCAAATATTTTTTCCCTGACTTTAGGAGATCGTACTGGGAGATGAGGGGCAATGCACTAGAAAAGAAGTCCAACTATGAAGTTTTAGAGTAAGTATTGCATTTCAGTTTGAGGCTTGGGCTGTTGCTTGTACAGGAACATGTAGTGAGAACGCAGCACTGCTGCCATTTTTCGTAGCAAGGTCACGACAGTAGGACTGTTATTTTTATCTAACATTAACATAACATTTTATCTAAAATAAAGTGTGAAATCTTAAAACCTGATAAATTTCAGACCTTTCAATCTATAGAGGTGGTGAGAGCTCATTTACCACTGTATGACTAAGACAAATTGGGTTGTTAACAGTTTAAACTTGCTGATATGCAGTACCATTGGTTTGAGTCATCTGTATTCTGTTAATGCTTGTGGGATAAGCTAGTCTAGTCCTACAAATTTAACAATGCTTTGTACAAAAATGGATTTTCCGTGTACAATTAATCAGTCACAGGACTAATTTACACAGAGTTCTTTAATTACTTACCAGCTACTTGAAATTTAAAATCTGAGGTTTTATTTTACCTTGACTTCTGCTAAGTGTGTTGTTATGATCTTGCAGTCAATAAACATATAGTGTGTCTTCCACATATTCCAAAACTTAAAACATCCAAGAAGCATCCTGGTAGCAAATCTAATTTGTTGACTTAATCATGCTGTATAGGAGATGGCTTTAATCCAAATTTGAACAGAGTGCTTGAGAAGCTTCGCAAAAAGAAAAGGAGTACATGTGGCACCTTAGAGACTAACAAATTTATTAGAGCATAAGCTTTTGCTCTAATAAATTTGTTAGTCTCTAAGGTGCCACAAGTACTCCTTTTCTTTTTGCGGATACAGACTAACACGGCTGCTACTCTGAAACCTGAGAAGCTTTGCATTCAATTCCAAAGGAGACAATTAATGTTTGTTACAACCCTGTTAAAGGTCAATTGTGTTTTCATTAGCTTCAGTGGAATAATGTATCAACCAAATGCTCTAACTAGTTATTATGCTTTGCTGCTAAAACCCTTGTGGGATAGAGAAGACAAGGTGTATGGCATAATACAAAATTAGGTTAACAGCTCAGGGCAGCAAGAAAAGTTTCAGCTTTCCGGTTTTTATTTTAAAATAAAATAAAGTGAGCTAATTCAGATTAAGGTTTGGTACTGGATCATTTGAAGGTAGGGTAGAAGATTCTTTTAAGGGCAATGAAATTGTTGTTTAGGACTCATGAGGAAAGATACTTTTTTTGTTTGCTCGTTTTTAAACAGGTTAAAAAATTACTTCCAGCAATTATATCCAATTGATATGAGAATAGATGCTCCACTGTTAAGTAACCCTCTTTCAAAGCACATATGCCAGGGAAAGCAGGCTATGCTGTGAGCAAGACTGCAAGGGCGTTAGTTCCAATAATGCAGTGGCAGAGATCAACTATACTGAGCACATAGTTTGGAGTCAAGAATTCCTGGGTTCCAATCTCAGCTCTGCCTGAATATTATGATAATTTATTATTAAAATATGTGTCTCATTATTTTCAAGGACTTTGTTCTTTTTGTGTAGAAAATGTTATACTAATACATATCAAACATACTTTAAAAAATATATAACAGTAGTATGTGTGCAGTATGTACTTATTAAATGTAATATCTAGGGCTGTCAAATGATTAAAAATTAAACATGATTAATTGGAAGATTTAAAAAGTTGCAAGATTAAAAAAAATTGTGATTAATCAGTTTTAATTACACTGTTAATAATAGAATACCACTTATTTAAATATTTTTGTTTTTTACATTTTCAAATATATTGATTTCAATTACAACACAGAATACAGAGTATACAGTGCTCACTTTATGTTATTATTTTGATTACAAATGTTTGCACTGTAAAAAAGATAAAAGAAACAGTATTTTTCAATTTATCTCATACAAGTACTGTAGTGCAATCTCTTAATCGTGAAAGTGCAGATTACAAATATAGTTTGTTTACGTTTACAGGAAATAATGCCGCCCGCTTCTTATTTACAATGTCACCTGAAAGTGAGAACAGGCGTTCTCATACCACTGTTGTATCTGGCATTGCAAGGTATTTATGTGCCATATATGTTAAACATTTGTATGCCACTTTATGCTTTGACCACCATTCCAGAGGACATGCTTCCATGCTGATAACAGATTCTGCTCGATAACGATCCAAAATAGTACGGACTAATGCATGTTCATTTTCATCATCTGTCAGATGCCATCAGCAGAAGATGGATTTTCTTTTTTGGTGGTTTGGGTTCTGTAGTTTCTGTATTAGTGTTGCTCCTTTAAGACTTCTGAAAGCATGTTCCTCACCTCGTCCCTCTCAGATTTTGGAAGGCACTTCAGATTCTTTTGGGTCGAGTGCTGTGCCTATTTTTAGACATCTCATCTCATACCTTTTTGAGTCTGTCAAATCTTCAGTGAAAGTGTTCTTAAATCAAACATTTGCTGGGTCATCGCCCAAGACTGCCAAAACACGGCAGAATGTGGATAAAACCATGGAGCAGGAGGCATACAATTCTCCCCCAAGGAGTTCAATCACAAATTTTATTAATGCATTATTTTTTGTAACAAGTGTCATCATCATGGAAGCATGTCCTCTAGCGTGGTGGTCGAAGCATGAAGGGCATACAAATGTTTAACATATCTTGCACGTAAATACCTTGCAACACTGGCTACAACAGTGCCATGTGAATGCCTGTTCTCACTTTCAGGTGACATTGTAAATAAGAAACGGGCATTATTATTTCCCGTATATGTGAACAAATTTGTTTGTCTTAGTGTTTGGCTGCACAAGAAGTAGGACTGAGTGGACTTTTAGTCTCTGAAGTTTTACATTGTTTTATTTTTGAGTGCAGTTATGTAACAAAAAAGTACATTTGTAAGTGGCACTTTCATGATAAAGAGATTGCACTACAGTACTTGTCTGAGATGAATTGAAAAATACTGTTTGTGTTTGTTTTTTACAGTGAAAGTATTTGTAATGAAAAATCATATAAAATGAGCGCTGTACACTTTTTATTCTGTGTTGTAATTGAAATCATTATATTTGAAAATGTAGAAAAATATCCAAAAATATTTATAAATTTAAATTCGTATTCTATTAGAATCATAGAATATCAGGGTTGGAAGGGACCTCAGGAGGTCATCTAGTCCAACCCCCTGCTCAAAGCAGGACCAATCCCCAATTAAATCATCCCAGCCAGGGCTTTGTCAAGCCTGACCTTAAAAACCTCTAAGGAAGGAGATTCTACCACCTCCCTAGGTAACGCATTCCAGCGTTTCACCACCCTTCTAGTGAAAAAGTTTTTCCTAATATCCAACCTAAACCTCCCCCACTGCAACTTGAGACCATTACTCCTTGTCCTGTCCTTTTCTACCACTGAGAATAGTCTAGAACCATCCTCTCTGGAACCACCTCTCAAGTAGTTGAAAGCAGCTATCAAATCCCCCCTCATTCTTCTCTTCTGCAGACTAAACAATCTCAGTTCCCTCAGCCTCTCCTCATAAGTCATGTGTTCCAGACCCCTAATCATTTTTGTTGCCCTTCGCTGGCCTCTCTCCAATTTATCCACATCCTTCTTGTAGTGTGGGGCCCAAAACCGGACACAGTACTCCGATGAGGCCTGTGTCCAGTTTTGGGCCCCACACTACAAGAAGGATGTGGATAAATCCTTTTATTATAAATCTCCTATTATTGTTTAACAGTGTGATTAAAACTGCGATTACTCACGATTAATGTTTTTAATTGAGTTAATCTGTTTTGAGTTAATCGTGTGAGTTAACTGCGATTAATTGACAGCCCTAGTAATAGAACATTTCATGTGGAAAGTTGGAAGTGAAGGAAAGAACAGGGCAGAGCAAAGAGGCAGTTGGGTTAGTTCAAGGTCAGTGATCATCAGGAGAAATCCCATTTAGGATACATACAAAGAGGAAGGAATAGAGAGATGCCGTAGGAAATATTAAGAGAGAGAAAATACTTTAGAATTTTGTTAATATAAAGGAAGTGACTGTATGGGTGACCTGGAGGAAGGCTAATACAGTGTCACTTTCTTAAAAGGAAGATAAATGGTGAGATTAATGACTACAAATGAGTTATTGGGGGTTCGGCAGGAAGAGTGAAAGGCAAATTTGATAGATTTGTGAGAAAGTGAGCAAGAAAGACCTAAGGAAAGGCAGTGGGTGCAGTTTGTTTATATTTCAGCATGACCATCAATAAGATGTTCCAAAGTCAGTTATTGGACATACTAGAAAGTATAAGCATTAGTATTTAGGTTAATAACCTTGATTGAAAACTAGCAGGGGGACATCTTAGTGCCAGTGAGATCTCGGTGCTATCCATCCCGAAGGCCTTTGCAGCAGCTAGGGACCTGATAATCCTCCCGGTACTCCTGATCCCAGCAGGACAACTTCCAGCACCAGTGAGTTCATTGAGCAGAAGGGAGCAGCTAGCCCCAAGCTCCTGTCTGGCACCAGGTCCTCCAGTACCAACCAGAGGGCAACTGGCCCTGCTGATGTTGGCAAAGACTTCCCCACTCTGGCACTGATCACTGGACCTCGGGACCAGCTGGCAGAAGCGAGGGTACTGGCCCCCCCATGGTCTCCCCAAGCACACTCGTAGTCGGAGGTGGAGTCCTGCACCCAATCCAGGGGCCGTTACGAGTACCCAGTATACATCCCACCAGATGCCAGTGCGGGTGCCCCCCGGTCACCTGGCCCAGAGAACAGTGGCCTGTGCAGGTCCAATGGCCATTTTGGAATCCATGGGATTTTTTCCCAGTAGCAGGATTGCCTTCCAGCTGTTTGTACTCGGTGGTGTTTGAGAGAAGGGCGTCACCACCACACCATTCGACACCCGACCTGGACTCTGGTACCAAGCCCACTACCGACTCTCAGGACTTAGGCCTGTGTGATGTGGTCAGTGCAGATGCAGAGGAGGAAGGTCCCCTGCCAGTGCAGGCTGCCTCCGCCTCCTCAGACGAAGCTGTCAGGATCGAGCAGCTCGGCACCACAGGACGACTTTAGAGCTCACCAGGAGCTATTGAAAACGGTG